ATGCACTACATAAGTGGAAAACAAACCAAGCTGCAACACAGATGGCCAAAAGTCTGGGGTGTATCAATCGACTAAATATCGATCCAGCATACACAGACAACATTTTTGCTGGTAGTAGCGTTTTGCCGGAATTCACACTAGTGATTCGTATTTTGTGTATCTATGCACTCTCTTACAAACCTTTCTGTAATATGTTGAACAACTACATTTTCTTTAAATCAACTAGTAATCATGGTTGAGAAGACTTGAGGGCATAGCAGGAAATGTTTATACATTGTTTTTAAATGGAGTCCACATATGAGAAGATCAAACTTTCATTTCTAATTTTCTACAATTAGCCTACCATCCCTGTTATAATCTGAGTCATTGTCTGGTCAACTCAGGACAGAACTTTCCTAGACACTGAAGTGAATTTGTTCTGACCTGTGTTGACCAGTCAATCAAGGCCAAGCCTTTCGATCAGAAAGAGGAAAGATGGAGAGTTCAGCCTGGAGTCTTCTTACCTCTAGCCCAGGGATGTCAAACTAATTTTCCCCGCGGGCTGCATTCGCTCTTCACCGAGGTCCGGAGGGCCATACTTAATATTGATTATTTATTCTGCGTTAAAATGTGTAAAACATAGTCCCCTATCCATCGCTTGTGGAATTTTCGATGCTGTAGCTGGACAGAGTGAAGAGTCTATAAATGTAGGTCCATTATAATTTCTACACAGTTTCGATTTGGTTTTAGTCATTTCAATGTCGATTGAGATCGTTTTCCACCGAAGAAGAAGAACAAAACATTTATTTTTTCAAACCACCCGCGGGCCGGATTGAATCGGCTAGCGGGCCTTGAGTTTGACACGTGCTCTAGCCTATATAATTAGCATAAAAGGTAATAAACTAGTCTCTCAGTTTACATCGAAACAAGTAATCAAAATCCTGTTCTAAAAACAGTAATGTTTATGACACAAATGTGCTAGCTGTCACACCCAAGCTTCCCCAGTGTGCTAGCCGTCAACCTCAAGCTTTTGCAGAGGGGCATCTCTGTAATCTCTCAATTGAACTATTAAAAAAGCAGCTTAGGAGTGATTAAGACATCGCAATCGATTAAGACTTGGCAGCAGCCGCATCTACCGACGGGTCAATAAAGGCTTGTTAACTCATTCACAGGGAGAAGCGTGACAACTTGGAATCGGTCTTCAGTCCGTCACCAATATCAGACAGATTATTGGAGATATAATTCAATAATTATCCTGCCACTGTTGTGTTGTTGGTATTGATTTATTCACCCAAATGTCTCGCCACTCCACCCCCCCAGGCATAGTGTAGCATAGCATATGGACGCTTAGCAGGAGACAGAGTATAAGTCCCAAATTGCACCATATATACCCAATAGGCCCTGGTCAAAAGTAGTGCACTATGATGTGAATAGGGTGCCACAGAGGCACAAGTGACAAACACCAACTGAAATGGTCTGCCCTAAGAACATGATGTGCAAAAAAACAGTACAGTAGCCCTTTGTCTAGCACATGTACTGCAGTGTGAGGACATCAAACATATGGCCTGTTATTAAACCTCTTAAATGTAACTGCATGTAATCGAAAATGTAATCTACGTAATCCCCCAAAATAATTATTTATCATGTGAGGGCCATAAACAATAACTAGTAATGCTGCATACTCCAAGAAAGGTTAAAATCTCAGCTTTCTGGTAAGAATTGTTATAAATTGCTGAGGTGTAGTCACTTGAGGACACAAGCTCAAGTACACAGTACACATATTAAATATTTTATATGATGTATTTTCTATTCAACAAAACCATATGAATAAAGCTTGAAATTACTAATATTTCTTCAAAATATAGTATAATCCATTTATAAAATGACTAACTATAAGAGTTCACCTTCCTTATAACCAGTGGTGAAAAGTACTTAAGTAAAAATACCCGAAAGTACTACTTAAGTATTTTATTTGGTTATCTGTACTTTACTTTAACTATTTATATTTTAGACAACTTTTACTTCACTACATTCCTAAAGAAAATGATGTACTTTTTACTCTATACATTTTCCCTGACACGCAAAAGTACTTGTTACATTTTGAATGCTTAGCAGGAAAGGAAAATTGTCTAATTCACACACTTATCAAGAGAACATCCCTGGTCATCCCTACTGCCTCTGATCTGGCGGACTCACTATACACATGCTTCGTTTGTTGGAGCATGCCCCTGGCTATCCGTAAATAAAAAAAACAAGAAAATGATGCCGTCTGGTTTGCTTTATATAAGGAATTTGAAATTATTGATACTTTTACTTTTGTGTATTTTAGCAATTACATTTACTTTTGATACTTAAGTATATTTAAAACCAAATACTTTTAGACTTTTACTCAAGTAGTATTTTACTGGGTGACTTTCACTTTTACTTGAGTCATTTTCTATTAAGGTATCTTTACTTTTACTAAAGTATGAACATTGGGTACTTTTTCCACCACTGCTTATAACTGTGAAATACATATTTGTATATTTAGTGTTAGAGAAAATGTGCATATTTTCTAAAGTTCTCTCTTGACCAAAATGTCTGCCCCCATTGCTGTGAACTTCTCAGAGCTCTAGCTTGGCTTCCAGAACTCGTTAGGAACTCAACCTTAATCTCATATTAATATTGTCCATCTATGACAAACAGAAAGTGTTTTTTGTTTAAAATCTATGAATTACTTTAGATTACTGGCTATAAATCGGTCTCTGAATGTGCTACAGCGACGAACCCACTCTCTCCTGCTGCATTACGATGCAAGGAGTCCAGGTTGTTAGTGGCTGTGACGTAGGGTTCAGCCAAGAGTTGATGGACAGTCAGAAGAGCGAATGAAATGGTAGGAGGGACATTCCAGCTTCAAGTGGTGTCAGATTTCACATCCTTCTTCACACCAGTGTTGCCAACTTAGTGACTTAGTCGCTATATTTAGCGAGTTTTCAGACCCCCTAACGACACATTTTCAAAAAAGCGACTAGCGACAAATCTAGCGACTTTTTCTGGTGTTATTGGAGACTCTGACGTGAAACCACGTATCGTTCTTACTCTTCTCAACGAGCAGTGGGTGCTACCTTGGGCCCCACCAGGGCCCCACCCCGTGGGCCCCACCCCCGTCCCAAAGCACTCACAGGCGGCCCAGTAATTTCGATCTATGGTGTCCACATACTGATTTAGAAGCTAAAATGTCGGTCGGTACCGGTACCAGAACCAAGCAGGTGCCCAAAACAGGGGACTTTACATCTAAGAGGTTGTACAGTACAATGCCATCACACATGCACGTATGCATGCGCGCACACACTGTCGACCACAGATTGATATTGGCATGATGTTTCAGTCTGTTAATTTCACATCATCATACAGTTCAATAATTACAGCATATTTCTGAACACAAAAGATGGCCAGATATTGGTTACAATGCAACTTCCATCTGTCACATTGGTTACTGAACCCACACTTCAAACCCACAACAACATATGAAGATAGAAAAGAACATAATGTACTAAGTGCAGAACAAAAGATGTAAGTCATGACATATGTTATACAGTCAATTATACCTCTCAGTCCTACAACTGATTAGACCTGTTATAGTCAGGTTTACATTACTGTCCTGATTCATAACTTGATTATGAGGCAAACATTTGGGGTACATTGACTTCCATTGGTTTTTGGTTAGAAAATGCTAATATTATTGGTTGGTGCAAAGTTTGGTAACAGAATGAGGACACAAACCGTCATTCTGTTACCAAACTTTACATCTGCACTGTTCTTCAAGCAAATGTATTTTTGTAGAATTTTCTGTGGAAATTGTTAAAAGTACTCTGTGCATAGAATTGTATGGTTTGATTTAACTTTGCAGTCATTGGTTTTTGTTTGACATACATTTTAAAGTGACAAATCTGAGTCTCAGCATCATTCTGTTACCATGGAATTGCTCTAAACAAACCCAAAGCGTGGATATTGGTCTCTCCTTATGCATAAGCTGCTTTCAAGGAATAAACAATTGTTTATGTGTGTCTGTGTGTCTAGGAAGCACCAGTTAGAGGACAACCAGACCTAGTACAAGGTGCTGTGTCCCTCCCTGTAAGGTTGAGGCTCACCTGGTCCAGGGTGGGATCCCGTGGGTGCTGGATCTCAGCTGCCACCACAGCAGCAGACGAAGAAGAGGGGTTTTGGAAGGCACAACCTCTACACTGTAGTAGCCTGGTCACAGAGCACTCCACGGGGTCCCAGATAGCATTGTAGGCTGTCCGTGTGTGTGTGTGTTTCAGAGAGAGAGAAAGAGAAAATGAAAATAAAGGACAAAACAACTAAATGCAAAGTAACCCACAGAAAAGCCTGTAGGGAGACAGCATCAAAGGCCTCTTGAGCCGCCAGCCACACATTAACCCACTCGTCAGCACAGGAAGGCATACACCTTAATCCTGGGGGGAAATGAATTTGTATAAACGCTCTTTGGCTAGTGACACTGATTGCTGTTTTATAATGACAGATCGTTTAAATGGATCATTACTTTGAAGGGTGGATCAAAGGTGTTTGGATCATAGAAATAAAATGATTCATTCTTATTCTTTGGCTTGGATACCAACACTGTCAAAGGGAAAAGTGACTAGGGGATTCTAGCAGGCACCATGGCTTCTTTTGTCCTGAATAATCTATTGAGTCAGTGATTTGGATGGATCCAGGTTAGAGCCTTTCAGAGTTGGGAGATCGTTCAGACAGGTTTGTTTCTCTCACCCTCACTTCAAAGAGAGGGGAGCTCTCCAGCATAGACTTATGGCATTAATGAAGCAGGGATTTTGTAACTATGGAAACATCTTGCTGACTGTAGTGTTCACCTCCTCTGACAGTGCTTCGCTCCCTATATGGGCATCCCCAGAGGTACTAAAACAAGCCCGAACAAGGAAGGTCTGTAATAGCAGGTTCTTCGTATGTGGCTGTATTATTCCAAACCCCCACAGTGAAATCACAAATTAACAAATTCCTGTAGGTTAGGCAACAACGTAAAGATTAAAGATAAAGTCAGATGTATGATTTCTTTCAGGCCTACCGGTGTTGTTGTTGTCCCTGTAAGGCTGAAGACGGCTTCTGAGGGCCTGTAGGGCTGCGATGCCCCGGACCGCCAGTAGGTTAGGGGGGTCATGGGGACATAGGGGCCTGGGTGGGAGGCATGGACACTGGGCTGGACCTGTGGCTCCCCATCCTCTGGTGCCTCTAAGCCTGGCTATCTGCTCCAGATCACACAGGCTGCTCTGCAGCTCACCTAAGGTACACAGTCACAAGTTACAACATCCACTTTTAATTTGATTGAGGGTCACTGACATAAGGATATGTGTTTATTTGTGGGAATTAAATGTACCCTCTGCCACAGGCAGTAGCTGCTGCCCACACACAGCACAGTCTAGTCCTCTGGAACAGGGTCTCTGGTCTCTAGTCCTCTGGAAGACAAGACTTGAGTTGGCATGATGTGCATCGTATCACCCGTTACACACAAACAATGTGCATCACTACTGTTCAGATACCTAGGCTCCAACCCTGTTCTATTTAGTGTCCCCTAACGCACCTTCCTCCTCCGAGAGGCCCTGTTGGCCCCTCTATCCTGCTTACAGCTCCTCTGCACCTTGATGCCTAGAGGGGGCAACAAGCAACGGATGGATGGTTTTGTTTTCATTTCCAAATGAGCACTGATAAATTCCCTGACAACAAAAAGGATACACTGACCAAATTACTCTGTGATGCGTACGGGCTGTCTAACCTTTCTGTAGAGAGTTCAGACTACCAGGCCCTTCCTTTGTTAGACCAGTGGGGCTACTCTCAGTCTCAGGTTCACCTCCAGGACTTCCTGGGACACACACTCTACCCTCGCATTTAGGGGTGACAATGTCAATGTGCACTGTGGCGGTAGCAGGGGCGTTAGGGGTGGGGGTACTGCTCGTGACTTCTTCCAGGCCCTCCCAAGAGGGGGGCAACCGTGCCTTTTTCCCCCTGGATCTCTTCACCTCTGGTCTGCATGTTGCCTTCAATCTCCCCCTGCTGCTGTACTGTTGACAGAAAACACTAGTAACCTCCTGCCCCTTGGCCTTACTGCTGTTGGTCTTTGGCTTGGGAACATCCTCCGGCCCCCTGGCCGTCCCGCTGGTTCCTGACTTGAAAGAGTCCTTTAGCCCCCTGGCCTTGGCCCTAATACTAGTCCCAGACTTGGTAGAGGCCTGGTCCTTACATCCTGTGACGGCCTGCTCTCCCTCAGTCTCCTCAGGACCAGAACCAGCCACACTAGCAGATCTGACTCTGGCTGTCCTGCCCTGGACCTCTAGGCCCTGGTATTTGGTCTGGGGCTGGACTGGGACACTGGAGGTGGGTGCAAAGGGCACCCCTGCCTTGGTCCTGCCTCTGCCCCTCTGACTGCACCAGACTTGGTTTTGGGCCTGGTTCTTAGCCTGAGTCTTGGAAAGAACAACTCTCCCTTTCCACGGCTGGGTCGGTCTTGCAACAAGGGCCTCAGCGCAGTGACCTGCCAATTAAAGCATATTATGTCAATATGCCAGCTGCCTCATACTGCGTGGTGTTGTCTTTTATGTGGCAAAATCTCAAAAAAGCTGAAACAATGGAAACAAACTTACTTTACAATTATCAGCAACTTGGGACATTAAAAAAATACCACAATTAGCCTACGGCATGAATAAACACACTTATTGATTTAATTTGTTCCAACTCGTAAGGATAAAAGGCCTGACTTAGGCTAATCAATGACGAGATATTAAAGGGACTTAGGGAAGCCCCAGTAAATATGCCAATAACCTCACAGTGCTGCTTAATAGCCTTACAGTGCTACAGACCAACAGACTAACAACCTATTAGGACATCTGATTACCCTCTCCCACGGCACGCTTGTTGATACTGATATTGACGAGGTGCCCAGCCATGCTCAGCCATGCAATTACATTAACTAACGAAGCTAAGGCACTGTCACACAGTTAGGCTGATGAGCAGAGGGGTGAGCTTTAATTGAATGGTTTGGTCGTCCACGTTGGACTCCTCCGTCAACCAATCACAGGTTAGGGATCGTTAGGGAGGTTTGTGTTCTAACGAGACAACTTCCTGTCAAGCTAATGGGGCTTAATTTGCCAGACTTCACTGTTCCCGCCTCCTTCCATCTACAGTTCAGCTTCTTTAACCATTGGTCTGATTGCTCATTGTCAGGGTAAGCCACAATAATCCAAAGAAGGCCCTTAAAACCTCAAGGATCTGGCCCTTAAAACCTCAAGGATCTGACCCTTTTTTTCAATTTTCGCCTAAAATGACATACTCAAATCTAACTGCCTGTAGCAAGGATATGCATATTATTGATACCATTTGAAAGGAAACACTGACGTTTGTGGAAATATAAAATGAATGTAGGAGAATATAACACATTAGATCTGGTAAAAGATTACACGCTTTTTTTTTGTTCCATCATCTTTGAAATGCAAGAGAAAGGACACAATCTATGCACATCTAGCATTCCAGTGTTAATACTAATTTTAATTATTTTGCACTATAGCCTATTTATTGCCTTACCTCCATAACTTGCTACATTTGCACACACTGTATATATATTTTCTGTTGTATTTTTTGACTTTGTTTTTTTACCCCATATGTAACTCTGTGTTGTTGTTTTTAATTGCACTGCTTTGCTTTATCTTGGCCAGGTCGCAGTTGTAAATGAGAACTTGTTCTCAACTGGCTTACCTGGTTAAATAAAGGTGAAATAAAAATAAATAAAATAAACAATATATTGCAGTTTAGGCGCAATTTTGATTGTGTGTGTGTGCAATGTTTCAGATTGATTCAGTGAAGCATTGCAATACTGGACTATTTTGTATCAAGTCTGCCCAAATGTGCCGAATTGGTCAATTGATACATTTTTAAGTACATAACTATAGAGAACATAGAAAAATGATATGGTAATACAAAATGTAAGATTACACACTCCCAGGAATGTCATACATGATGGATCATTAGCTTATACACTAACTTTCACACATCTAGATGGCCGGGCGGGGTGGGTGTGGAGCCAGAGACAGCAAGGGTTCAAACTGTAGAACCCAGTTCCCACATTTGAATATAAAAATGGATTTTTTCAAACAAAACTATGCTAAATTCTATCTCTGGGACAATTAGGATGACAAATCAGAGCAAGATTACTTAATGTAAGTACATTATTTACATTCAGAGGTGAATGTATCAAACCAGTTGCCGTGATAATTTTTGTTGTTGTTGTGCACTCTCCTCAAACAATAGCATGGTATTTTTTCACTGTAATAGCTACTGTAAATTGGACAGTGCAGTTAGATTAACAAGAATTTAAGATTTCTGCCCATATAAGACATGTCTATGTCCTGGAAAGTTTGCTCTTACTTACAACAGTCATGCTAATCACATTAGCTCAACCGTCCCGTATACAGGACACCGATCCCATAGAAGTTAAAACCATGAACTAATCCTCCTTTACAGTATAAATGGCCTTTTACTCTTCACGACATCATTAAACCATTTTCCCCATTAAGGGGAACGGTTAGGACGTATGTGAGAACATATGCCATTTGCTTAACTGTTCGTACACACAGAACATTAGGCGTATACATGAGGCAATGGACATAAACAGGTCAATAAATACTTATTTACCAAGGTTTAATGGAAGCCATAATATCACACACTTTGGCAAAGAGGGCTGCAAGCCGGAAATGAAGAAATGTAGAAAATGATCACCACCATAGCAAAGACAGACAGGTCGAACTACTAATAAAATATTAACATAAAAACAGGTAGTCAATTAGTTTAATAATTGAGACTTACAGCATTTATAATTCTTCATTGACTTTACCTTCCGATAGGAAGATAAAACATTTATCTTTGGTACTATTGGGTCAATAACATGGTAACTGGCAAAGTAAAGCCAATACAAGGTGCTTTATTGAGGGTTCAAACTACCCATCTGCACTCTTCTACATCAATTTGACACCACACAAACGAAAACCAGCCAACATGATTTTATTAATCAATTTTCCATATTAGATGGCCACAATGATTATTTATTAATATATAGTCACCCTGGAAATGTTCTCAAGATGGATGATTGTGTTTCTGAAGTTTCTTGTGTTGCTGGAAAGGCCCTTGTGTGTTTCCCCCAAGTCATTGAACACACATCCCACCTCCCCTCTAGATTACATCAGACAATTCATTTATGAAAGGATTGTACAGTAATTTTGTAAAAAGTTCTATCTGTGTGAAGTCAGGCATGCTGCATCACCCCCACTCCTCTCCTCACTCCAAATAACACATCTCATTAAAACACATAACGGGACAATGCTTCCATTTCGTTTACAGGAAAATAAAGACGCATTTCTTCATGCATTTTAATGATGTGTACAAAAATAAAAACTGCACGTTAACATCACAAATTTGTGCGAAGTTCGTTAGCTCCAGACTGTTTAAACAGATAATGTCAGTCAGAGGAGTCAACCCAGCCATGCTGTCATGCTAGATAATGAGACATGATGATCTGAGAACTAACTGGCTTTACTGAGCGTTTTGGGGTCTGTCTAGTCGTCTATATTTATAACCATAGTCTATGGGTATAACCTGGGCCTGTGTTTCCCCTGTCCATATCATTTTAATAATGATTATCAAAAAATAAAGACTGATTCTAGATCAGCACACCTACTGAACATCTTTGTGAATACGGGCCCTGGTGCCTAGTCATCTACAGTTATAACCTGGTGTCTAGTCGTCTATGGCTATAACCTGAGGGACAACAGAGAAGTAGCTGGTTAGTTTACCTGAGGATGGCGTGGAGGGCTCTGGAGCTTTCTTTCTGGACCTGGACAGTCTGTGTGTCCTGTTGGCTGTCTGCCTGCTCTGGCCTTGGGTCTGGCCCTGCGTCTGGGTCTGGTTTACCTCCTGTCCTTCTCCCTGACCTTGGTCCTCCCGTCTCTGGGTCTCGTCACCACTCCCTATCCTACTCCTACACCCCTGCTGCCTGTCCTGTTCCCATCCCACACTGACACAGTCTCTACTCGCTAAGAGAGTGAGAGCGCCACCCCTCTGGGTATCAGTGGTAGTGACCGTCCCTGTGCCCTCCCTGGGACCCTGCTCTGGGCCAAACAGGTCCTCAGACAGAGCCTGGGTTGTTCCGGTAGAGAGAGCAAGGCTGGACGCAACCACAGTTCCCTCCCCTGTCATCGTCCCCTGCACTGTCCTGGGGAGAGGCTTGGTGTCTACCTCCTCCTCATCAAACATCTCAGGTGTGAAGAAGATGCTCTGGTCTTCCTCTTCGTCTAGCAGGGTGGGATCATCTACAACTACAGTGGTCTGTCTGGGCTCACAACTGGCAGGGACCTCCACTGGGGAGAGGTCTAGAACCGCACCCTGGTCCTGGCTGGGAGGGGTAGCTGCCGGTCCATCCAGCCCCTCACGGGCCTTCCCTCCTGGGCAGGGGATCCAGGGATCCTGACTTACATTCTCCTGGTTCTCCTTCTCCTCCTCCACAGAGTCAGGCCGTGGTGTGTAGACCAGAGGACAGCGACGCCTGCTTGGGTCCTGGGCCTGGAAGATTGGGGTCTTGAAGCGGGTGGAGCTCACAGGGGTGGAGGAGAAGAGGTGGTGCAGGGGCCGCGGGGTGGAGAGGGGGGTGGAAATGGTTGGGGGCGGGGCCTTGGGATCACTGTTCAGATGAGTGGAGGGGGGTTGCTGTGTCTGCTTCTGGTCACCTGCCCACAGAGAATGCACACGTTATGGGAAATCATGGAAACGAAAGACAACACGGTTATATGAAGACTATTTGTTACAATGCATTTAGAAATTCAGCTGAGCTGAGGAGCTGATTGGAGCAGTCATCAGGTGTTGACAGTAAAGGTGAGAAAATAACTGGGAGTACATTCAAGATGCCAACATTGGCCTCAAGGATCATTGGGCCCGTAACAGCTAGGTTAGCGTACACTACACGATTAGTGGTTTAGGGGTGTGAGCAAAGGATGTCTTCCTGTCTCTTATCCAGAACAGTGCAGAGGAGAAGAACACACCACCGTCTCACGCTCAATATAACACAAACAATGGTCAATGGGATTTAATTAAAAGCAACAGTCAAACATCTGCTCATCAAGCTGCTTGCCTCAGACAAACCCAGCACAGCACCACTCAGCCATGTAGAGGGCCTCGTAGTAATGAGACAGATTGGTGTACACACACACATAAACCCCCCACCACAGCCTGATCCAGCTCCTGCCACCCCCACCCACCCCTCAAAATGCAATTGAGCAAACAGCTCAGCCTTACAGCGACCCGAGTCACCCGACAGACAATAGACTACAGCTCTAGAACGGAGAGTATCCACCTCATTTGATTGACCCAGTGACCTCATTGTAATTTCATTCTGTTAGGCTCAGACGCATGTTTTTTTATTGATCCATTCTCAGTGGAGGGGCCAAGGTACCCCCAAAAAAGCTAGCACTGTCAAATGAACCAGAGCAAGGTATAATAAAATGGACCTAAAACATACACTATATATACACAAAAGTATGTGGACACCCCTTCAAATGAGTGGATTTGGCTATTTCAGCCACACCGTTGCTGACAGGTGTATAAAATCGAGCACACCGCCATGCAATCTCCATAGACAAACGTTGGAAGTAGAATGGCCTTACTGAAGAGCTCAGTGACTTTCAACGTGGCACCGTCAAAGTATGCCACCTTTCCAACAAGTCAGTTCGTCAAATTTCTGCCCTGCTAAAGCTGCCCCGGTCAACTGTAAGTGCTGATATTGTGAAGTGAAAACGTCTAGGAGCAACAACGGCTCAGCCGCGAAGTGGTAGGCTACACAAGCTCATAGAACGGGACCGTCGAGTGCTGAAGCGCGTACAAATCGTCTGTCCTCGGTTACAACACTCACTACCGAGTTCCAAACTGGCTATGAAAGCAACGTCAGCACAAAAACTGTTCCGTCGGGTGCTTCATGAAATGGGTTTTCATGGCCGAGCAGCTACACACAAGCCTAAGATCACCACATGCAATGCCAAACGTGGTGTGGAGTGGTGTAAAGCTCTCTGCCATCGAACTCTGGAGCAGTAGAAAAGCGTTCTCTGGAGTGATGAATCACGCTTCTCCATCTGGCAGTCCAACGGACAAATCTGGGTTTGGCGGATGCCAGAAGAACACTACCTGCCCCAATGCATAGTGCCAACTGTAAAGTTTGGTGGAGGAGGAATAATGGTCTGGGGCTGTTTTTCATGGTTCGGGCTAGAACCCTTAATTCCAGTGAAGGGAAATCTTAACGCTACAGCATTCTAGACGATTCTGTGCTTCCAACTTTGTGGCAACAGTTTGGGGAATGCCCTTTCCTGTTTCAGCATGACAATGCCCCCGTGCACAAAGCGAGGTTCATACAGAAATGGTTTGTTGAGATCGGTGTGGAAGAACTTGACTGGCCTGCACAGAGCCCTGACCTCAACCCCATTGAACACCTTTGGGATGAATTGGAACGCAGACTGTGAGCCAGGCCTAATCGCCCAACATCAGTGCCCGACCTCACTAATGCTCTTGTGGCTGAATGGAAGCAAGTCCCCGCAGCAATGTTCCAACATCTAGTGGAAAGCCTTCCCAGAAGTGTGGAGGCTGTTATAGCAGCAAAGTGGGGACCAACTCCATATTAACGCACATGATTTTGAAATGAGATGTTCGACTAGCATGTGTCCACATAGTTTTGGTCATATAGTGTATATACACAAAGTTTTATACATTGACATGTCTTAATATTCCTAAAGAGCAAGCAATGTAAAATTATGACTAAAATCGAAGCTAAGTAACCTGAACGTTGGTAAAATGAAACCCTGGAGGGAGGAAACGGCAACAGCAGTTCTCCTCTACACCCCTAACATCTAGATCCAAAAAGCCTCACACATTGCCCTTTCCCTGTTCCCCGGGGCCCAACCACTTTACCGGGACAGGTCTATTCAAATATCATCCCTTCATGAATAACACAAGATAGATGAACACAACAGATGTTGGTCTGCAGTAAGATCATGTACTCAAGGTAGTGGGAGACCTTTGTGGAAGACTGACTGATGCATTTGACTCATTAGAAAACACTTATACAATGAGTTAATGTCAAGAGCTCTGGATGAAGCTCTCATATTATTTTATGCACCAATCAAACCTCTGACTGATAATCTACCAACTTCCCCAACAGAATTAAAAATAACTTGTATTTACAGTGCATTCGGAAAGTATTCAGACCTCTTGACTTTTTTCACATTTTGTTACGCTACAGCCTTATTCAAAAATTGATTGTTTTTTTTGTTTTTTCTCCTAAAATCAACACACAATACCCAATAATGACAAAGCGAAAACAGGTTTTTAGAAATGTTTGCAAATTTAAATAAAAAACAGAAGTACCTTATTACGAAGTATTCAGACCCTTTGCTATGAGAAGACTTGAAATTGAGCTCAGGTGTATCCTGTTTCCATTGATCATCCTTGAGATGTTTCTAAAACTTGGGAGTCCACCTGTGGTAAATTCAATTGATTGGACATGATTTGAAAAGGCACACACCTGTCTATATAAGGTCCCACAGTTGACAGTGCATGTACGAGCAAAAACCAAGCCATGAGGTCGAAGGAACTATCCGTAGAGCTCTGAGACAGGATTGTGTCGAGGCACAGATCTGGAGAAGGGTAGACAAACATGTCTGCAGCGTTGAAGGTCCCCAAGAACACAGTGGCCTCCATCATTCTTAAACTGAAGAAGTTTGGAACCACCAACTCTTCCGAGAGTTGAGCAATCGGGGGAGAAGGGCCTTGGTCAGGGAGGTGACCAAGAACCCAATGGTCACTCTGACAGAGCTCCAGAATTCCTCTGTGGAGATGGGAGAACCTTCCAGAAGGACAACCATCTCTGCAGCACTCCACCAATCAGGCCTTTATGGTAGAGTGGCCAGATAGCCCACTTAGAGTTTGCCAAAAGGCACCTAAAGACTCTCAGACCATGAGAAACAAGATTCTCTGGTCTGATGAAACCAAGACTGCACGCTTTGGCCTGAATGCCAAGCGTCACGTCTGGAGGAAACCTGGCACCATCTCTACGGTGAAGCATGGTCGTGGCAGCATCATGCTGTGGGGATGTTTTTCAGCGGTAGGGACTGGGAGACTAGTCCGGATCGAGGGAAAGATGAACGGAACAAAGTACAGAGAGATCCTTGATGAAAACCTGCTCCAGAGCGCTCAGGACCTCAGACTGGTGTAAAGGTTCACCTTCCAACAGGACAACGACCCTAAGCACACAGCCAAGACAACGTAGGAGTGGCTTCGGGACAAGTCGAACATCTCTGAACCTGATCGAACATCTCTGGCTCCCCATCCAATCTGACAGAGCTTGAGAGGATCTGCAGAGAAAAATTGGAGAAATTCCCCAAATACAGGTGTGCCAAGCTTGTAGCGTCATACCCAAGAAGACTTGAGGCTGTAATCGCTGCCAAAGGTGCTTCAACAAAGTACTGAGTAAAGGGTCTGAATACTTATGTAAATGTGATATTTCATTTTATATTTTAAATCATTTGCAAAAAATTCTAAAAACGTGTTTTTGCTTTGTCATTATGGGATATTGTGTGTAGATTGATGAGGGGAAAAATAAACAATTGAATCCATTTTAGAATAACAAAATGTGGAGAAAGTAAAGTGGTCTGAATACTTTACTCCGAATGCACTGGATCTAATGTAATACATCTCACCTGTGTTTCCACTCTTTCCACGGCTGGTGGTGGAGAGAGGCCACAGAGCAGGTGGGACAGAGACCATAGGGGGAACCCAGGACCTGACCCCCTGTAGCTGGGTGTGGGGCTCTGGGACCTGAGAGGTGGTAGTGTGGTGCACCGTGGCCCAGAGAAGGCTGTCTGAGCTGGGGCTAGGACTGGGCAGACAGTGGGACAGATGTTCCACAGTCACTGGAGATTGACTGGCTGGAGACAGGACAGTGGTGCTGTTGAAGGTCTGGCTCCCTGCTCCATGGATCTCTCCTGCCCCCTGTTGGCACTGGGAGAAGGCTACCAGCGACTGCATGGCACCGCTGAAGGTGTCGTGGTGCCTGACCAGGTTACGCACCCACTTGGACAGACCTGGGGTAAATGGAGACTAATCTTGTTAATGGAAGGGCATTCCACCACCTGCACCCATTTAAAAACATACATTAATATGATATAAAAACTAATTATTTACAGTCTCTTTACAGTCATTTCTTATAACACTTCTTCTAAGAGCATTTTATTTTGCTCAATTCTGCTGCATCTGCATGTGAACAGACCAATCCTCTAGGTTAAAACAATGTTATGTTTTATTTCCATACACTGGATAGGTGCAGTGAAATATGTTGTTTTTACAGGGTCAGACATAGTAGTACGGCGACACTGCATAAAATTAGGGTTAAGTGCCTTGCTCCAGGGCACATCGACATATTATCACTTTGTCGGCTCGGATATTAGAACCAGCCACCTTTGGGTTACTGGCCCAATGCTCTAACCGCTAGGCTAGCTGCCCCCCTACTACAACACAAGCCCCCTCTCTGTGGACTACCATCACCACCAAGTCCCCAAGATAACAAACTACACATTGTGTCAGACAACAGGGACGTTGGAGGGCTTGTTTGTGAGCTAGGATCTTTCATTTTAGTACCTGATATGTATTTGTTTGGGTTGTTCCCAAAGCGGTCGTCTACCAGAATGAGGGCTCCCCAGTCATTCTTGTGTCTGATACACCTGTGGTAGCAAAAACATTTTGAAGTTTAGGTAGTAACCTCCTGGTTTTCAAAATTATCAACACTTTTTCAGCTTAATGATCATGAGCCTGATTCGTGAGCTAGGAGGAAGCCTCCTCTGATAGGCTGAGTTGAAGATGGAGAAACAAACAGGAACACAAACAAAGAGAGCCGTACCTGCCCAGGGCCTGGTTGAGGGCTCTGTAGGCCTGGATCTCATACCAGCGGGAGCCTGACAGCAGACCCCTGGATTTACAGTGCTGGTCATTATACTTCATCTTCAGCTCCACCTGAAAACACAGCAGGAATGTTAGAGACACACCTCACAGGACAGGTCATCAGGACACTGCTATACTGCCACCACAGCAAGCAGAACAGACAACAGGAGACAGACTGGTATGCTTACAAACACACTGAAAGATTAATAATATAAAATATTTGTCCTGTTTTTAAAACCTGGTAAGCTGAAGTCACTAGTCTGTTACATATGGAAAGGATTAGCCATGATCCAGCACATTTGATAAGATATGGCAGCCCTTTCTGTCTTATCTATCAGGTGATGATGGGCAACATACACGCAGTCTGCAATCCACCCTGATCCATAGTAGCCTACTTATTCTTTAATGGAGCATATTCTGTTCGTGTCAAATTTCAATGAAGCATGGTGCCGATTATTTTCTACTTATTTTCATTATAAGAGCATTGCTGTTGTTTTTAGTTTTTCTGTCTTCTTTCAGTGGGGGTGTTATTGTATTGTTTGCTGTTATCTGTCTGTTTGTAAAACTGAAAATGTATAAATAAATAAAATTATAAATATAAAAAGAGAAAATATTTGCAATCAAATGTCCTTGTCGGGGATCAATAAAGTAAGGTTGAACTGAAGCAGCCTTCGATTTTCCAAAATCATGACATTTGAACGAATCTTGTGTAGCCCGGAGCATTATCTTTGACATGAAGTGAGAAGGACAAATCAATCGCTACCTGTCAGACACCCCAGAACCACCTAAATGTGCTCCAGTGGCTGGTAGGCGGCTGATTGGCTAACCATAGCTGTGGGCCATCACCTGTGCTCTGACCTGCAATCCAGCACCTTTCAGGCATCGTGCAGGGCACATCCATTGAGAATTAATGTGATTAATGTGGGCTGTGGAGTGGGAAGGTGAGGGGCAGACAGGGAGCGCAGAGGGAGACGCCAACCCACTGTTAAAAACACATAGGGCCTGAAGAGGTTTGTTATTGCCTGCCCCGAATGCCCCCTCAGACAGATCTGTTGTGAAAGGGGGAATAAAGGGGGGATACAGCGGAGGTGAAGAAGAGCAGAGACGGGAGGAAGGAGGGGGTCTAGTCAACACAAGTGATGAAGGTGGTCTGGTAGACAGATCTGTTGTGTAAGATGGGGGGGATAGAGCAAAAAGGCAAAGAGGTGGTGAGACAGGAGGTAGGGGAGCAGAAAAGGTGGTCCAGTCAACACAAGACGAGCAACAAGCCATGCCACAAAAAGGACACGAAAGCATCCATCTCCAATAATTTGCATCCATCCATCAATCCATCTTCCTGGATTTGCAGCGCTAACCTTTTGGGATTGACAAGTGAAAAGTTCATGTGGCGTCTGACGGGTGGGACATATGGGACATGCCGGTGAACAGGGCTCTAACAGGGACTGACAGGCAGGTGCCGTGTGTTCACAGCCCAGAGCACCATGACCCAAAACGACACAGGGACACAGGCATGTACACACTGTTCCCCTCTCTCTGCTTTCTGTCATAGGCAGAGAGATGTGTCATAACTGGACGTCAACTTGGCCTGGATGAGTCCGTCCATACTCACTACACATATTTGGTCTGAACCAAATAAAAAGAGCAGGAATTAGATTCCGTTATTTAAAATTAAGAAACGCCTCACTAGACCATGTCAAAATGGACCTGCTGTAGCCATGCCATTTTCTTGCTGGCCAGATGTATACTACTCATGTCATGGGGGCTCACGAGGCGCAGGCTAGCGGCTGTATGGTGAGATGAGATGAGATGTCTCCTCCTGTCTGTTAAACACCAGAGGGGTTGACGCATCTACTTCTGAGACCACGAAACTAACGGAAATGGCCAGTAGCCCCGAGCCGCCAGTGTCATCGAAATCCAATGGGAGTCCATTTCAGCGTCCCACCCTTCACGTCCTTGCACTGTCAACACCAGATCTGACATGACAGGATGCATATGTGAAAAAGCCAATTCTAGCTTCTAGCGAATCTCCTCCTAAATGTGAAAGAAACCGCCAGCTAGAATGGATTAGTTAAAATGTCAGGAGATCGCTAGTCGCTCGCTCGCTTTGGCCGGTCCTCCCACCGCTACCTGTTCATGCTTAAAAACATACATTTGACCAGCAAGCATGGTTTGCAGCTGAGCGGACCTGTTCGTGTGTGTGTGTGTGTGTGTGCCCCCCTGGCAGTCCTAACCATCTTGTGCCTGTCAGTGAGATTGCAGAGTGCTCCATCTGCCTAATGTGGCAGAGCTGACAACCTCGTCCTCAGTATGTCCCTGTGTGACGTGAACACACTCACAAGCACCTAACCAGCACGCACACACACTCTTCGCCCCCCCACACACCAAAATTCCAAAGTGTCTCCCACTCATCAACATAGGATCTAAACTGTCTGGTCCTCCTCCTCCATAAAGTATCAAAGCAGAGACACCAGGTCTCTATAAAACGGTGTCCGGTGTCTTAAAATGTCTACTGTGCTCCTCATTAAGCAAACAGAGATGCCGTATCAGCTGTAAGTGTCCTTTTATTGCCTGTTAAACGAGAGGATTGTTTCTCTCCCTCACACACGACACGGCTGCGTATTGTAAGACATGCCTGTTGTGGAAAAAAACGACTCTACATGTGTATAATGTAACATTGGGTATGTCCCAAATGGCACCCTATTCCCTATATAGTGCAGGGCTCTGGTCAAAAGTGGTGCACTAAATAGAGAATAGGATGCCATTTGGGATGCAAGCCTTGATGTAATAGCAGCTTAGCAGAGCTTTCTGTGTGGAGGACTGTTTACAGTTCACCTTTGATCTCAGGCCAGATAACAGGCTAGTAAACGCAGTGCTGCTCTGTGCTTCGGTTAAAACATTAAAACGTTTGGCTGAGAGTTGAGTCTGGGAAAAGCAGTCTAGGCACGAAGGTAGGCGTCCACACTACATGAGGGGTCTACATGAGCTATAGGGGGTGCATGTTTGAAATGTGGGACAGGGTGAGTGAATCCAAGTTAATGTGTGCTGAGAAGGGAATGTCTATATGTGCTTGGGTAAAGATAGAAATGTTAAACAGGTGGGAGAGTGAGAATATACAGTATGTCCTTTTGTGGCTCTGTCACAGCCGGGGCAGCGTTGTGTTGCTGTATACCTATGGCTTCCTGCCTGCCTGGCACCCGCTGGGTTGTTTTAGCGTAGCTGTCAGAGGGGCCGTGGGGACAAACAGTCACAGTGACCTGGCCCTGACAGTCATTAGTGTCATGTCCTGTCCCCTCTTCTGGTAATGGGGGTCAGCTAGCAGACCTTACCACCCCCTCAGGGCTCCTCTGGGGCCAGGGCAGGGAGCTGACACACGAGGAGAAGAAAGAAAGAAAGAAATCTGGTATCACAGTTTGATATATTAGGCAACACTGGGCCATGACAAAAAAGGTAAGGATGGATAGAAGAGGACAGGGAGGGAGGAAGAGAGGAGGAGGACGGTAGAAAGAAAGGACAGGACAGACGCTGAACAATCACTTTGAGATTATGTTACAGATCACCAAAAAAGAGGAGGATGGAGGATGCGCTTTTTCTTTGTATGTGTGCCAGTGTGTGTATGTGTGTCCAGAACAGAACCTTTTCAGTGTTGGCACTGGAGGTCTGTAGGAAAATACATTGGCACCCAGCAGATTCTATGAAGCACAAAGTCTAATCTGCAGGAGGCTGCTAGAGAGGTGGTCTTTCCACCTGTATGTGACTGGCTGGACACAACGGTAAACAGCGGTCTCTCTCTCCCTCTGTGTCCTCTGCTGTGAAACAGACCTGATGGGGCTCACCGCCAAGACGTTGTCTCCACCTCTTCCTCTGGTTCTTACCTGCAGGTCCTTGATGTTGGGGAAAGGGATGCCGATGGTGACCACTGCTCTGGCGTTGTCGTCTGTGAAGTCCAGTCCTTCACTCACCTTCCCTCTACACACTGCCATCAGCAGAGCTCCATCTGGGGGGGACAGAAACAACACCAACATCAACCCAGTCATCTGTCCTAAACAGATATGAATTCTTCCACATTTAAAAAAGTACCCAACACCAAACAGTTTTATAACTTGATTCTTCCTTCTTTGTACACAGCTAATCAATGCTGAATCAACCAATTGGTGCTCTGTAATCCCTTGCACAAAAGAGATACAGACAGACAAAGATGGAGACAGAGAGAGAGAAGAAGAAAGAGAGAGAGAGCGACAAAGAGACAGCCCAGACTCACCTCTGTCCCCTGCAAACTCTCCACTGATTCTGATGGCATCATAGTACATCTGCAGCAGTAAATCAAAGTCTCCCTTCCCTCCTCCTCTAGGCTCCGTGATCACTGTCTTCCTCTCCTCCAGCTTCTCCCACAGCCCTGTGTTGGTCCAGCGGTCACGCAGCTTGTCCAGCATCTAGGGAAACAGAACACCAGCAAACAGATCAGGGCTTCATGCATGCATCAACAATAATAATAAACTGTGTGATTTGTTCATATCTTTTTCAATTAATATTTTTGTTAATTTCTTCATTTGTTTACTCTTTGGCAGGAAGCGGGTAGAAATTGCATAATTTTCTAAACTCAGCCATCAGCAGATTACACAACACAGCCTTCCAATAAATAAATAACTATAAACTGGTGCTAACATTAATAAGGCTTGGCACCACTATGGGATAGAAACTATTCTTCACATGGTTCTTTATGACCTAATGAAGCAACAGAGCAGGAATTGAGACTACAGTAAACAGGAGAAAAACTAGGGCCATATTAGACCAAGAAATGTGGTCCACATTAGAGCCCCCTGAGAAAACCTTTCACATAGCAGCATAATATACTGAGGTTTGTCTACCAGCCAAAAGCAGCAACCTCTCCACTCACAGGACATACAGAGAAATAGGTTTCCAGGTTTCCTTTCTAGAACTCTAAACTGTTTTCAGAGTGAGTGGGTGCACCTGGAATCCGTTCAGGGATACACAGTAGAGTACGCTGTCCTGACAGCTTGGCATCCAGACACTGCAGGTGTGTGTGTATGTGTTTGCGTGTGTGGATACAGTGA